CTGTATTCCTGATAAAGTAGATGAAAAGCGAGAGTTACGATCCAAAAGTAGAACATATTTGCTTTGTAACACACAAGTGATTTTACGTGAGGTACTTGTATGTCGATATAACCGTTAGCTCATAAAAACAGAGCTTATGCTTTCCAAAAAAAACATTTTAATTGAAGGTCTCGTTAAGTATTCTAATTCGGTTCTATAATACCAGCCCGTTTGGACCCCACAGAAGCAGTCAAACTGATTAAACTACAAAAAAAAGAAACGTTAACTTCGGCTGCACCGAAGCTAGAATATCCTCATAGGTCCATTGTTTATAACATAAAAGGATACAAAATGATCTTTATTCTGATTTTGGTCGGTCAGCTTGTATGGCAGCTACATATATGCTATAGTAGTCTGATCTGAACAATTTATTCTAGGATTGTACCGTTATCAAAAACAATAATGCGTGCCAAATTTTGTGAAGATATCTCCCTTTATAAAAAAGTTTGAAATACAAAATCATGATTTTGATCGTTCAGTTTGTATGCCAGCTATATGTAGTAGTCGATTTCGGCGGATCTGACAAATGAGCTTGGAGCTTGGGGAGAAAAGAAGGTGTGCAAAATTTTAGATTGATATCTCAAAACCTGGACATGGCTAAATCGACTTAGCTCGTAAAGCTGATCATTTATAGTAAATTTATTTTTTTAAGTCTCCGCTGTTACCTTTTGAGTATTACAAACATCGTGGCAAACGTGGTATACCCTGTTCAGTGTATAAAAAGGTTCACAGGCTTAAAAAATCGGATCCAGAATTGGAATCCATTCGATGTGTATTACTCAAAATGCATTCTAAGTTGATTTGAACGTAACTAGTTTGCCCTGTTTAGTATGCTAAAAGAGAGAGTTATGTTCCAAAAGTGGAATAATCATATGGAGTAGGGACAAAATCTTTTAATAAAAAACATTTCAACTGGAAATCTGGGATAGTATTACGCATAAGGTTATGTAACAAACAGTAAAATATACCAACTTGGACCTCTTCGAAACAGTGAAATGATTAAATTAAAATTATTAGCAAACTACAAGTAGTAGGAGGTTCTTAAGTAATTTAGAGTAATTGGGGTTGGACCCCTCTGAACTTTTAACTACTCGGAAAATATGCTGAGAAAATCAGAAATTACAAAATTACAGTTCGATTATGATTTCATTTCTATATATTATATAATTAAATTTTTAGGAGAGTTTTTCAGAGCTCATAAGAATGATATGGAACGTTATAACATGGACACCATGGACAAAGGAGGACGTTGGATTCGAAAGTTAGCTCTAGAATGGGCTACCTTGTAAAGTTAAGAACCTATGTTTTTCGTATTTCTTAGATATCCCTTACTTTCGCTTTTATTACCAGTAATTTTCGTCTTTAACACTTTCAAATCTGTGCAGACTATACGTAATCAAAAAACTTGTCTCCTTCAGTTTTTGTGTGCCTCGGTTTTAATAGGTAAAAGTAGCACTTGTTGTAAGTGAGGCTCTACGTGGAACCTTGTGACTTATTGTACATTACATTGTTGTTGTTGTTTTAGCGGCTTACAATATTCCCCACGTATATTAAGGAATGTAGCCGAGTCTATGGTCCTTAGTCTGATAAAAATCTGGGTTCTTTCCAGTCACGTAAGCCCAAAGTTGTTGAAACGGCTTAAAGTGTAACCAATATTGATGCCGAAAGTTGTTATAACTTTGAAATTTTGCTTAACTGTTTATCAGGAGCCTTACAAGTAGAAATTACTGCAGTTGCGTCTCATTTAGTTTGTGGATTTTAATTTAAATTCTTGAGAAATTTGCTGTTTTTACCATGTCTCTTCTTACACTCTTTCGTTTATTTGATGGCAGAGGCATGAGTACTTCAGATGCTACACTCAATCGTTTTGGCACTTTAACTATAGCTTTGCTAAACTATTGGCGTCATTTTTCCGAAACAGTTACGCAAGAATCCCTCAACAATAACCATAATAACTTTCATCAACTGTTAAATGTAATAAATTCCAATTTGATTTACCACTCTCACAACCGCCTTTGGGTATAAAAAAACTTGGTCCCTATGGAGCTTAATATCTAGAAATCTGCCTACTATTTTTAGCGCGTACAAAAATCGACATTAAATGGCAATAACTATGTATATACATATGTACATACACATACATATATTCCACATTGCAAGTCAGCATTGTTGGTGTTATCACTTTATTAGCGCTCCGGCCTTATTCTTCTTATTCAAAACCACTAGACGCTAGTTCTTTTATTTCGACATTTTCCATTTCATCACGCTCCCGGTCTGAATTGGCCATTTAAGAAAAATGAGAAAATGATTACGTTGATGGCGATTTGACAGAAATGTGTTGGACGCCGCTTAGTTATGCTTCGCTTGCGGCATTTGCTGCAGTGCTTTGTTCCTCTCGTAGGCAGTTTTACAACGCGCCATTATGTTGGTACTGGCTTACTCAGAGCCATACAGTTATATCTGCATGCAGGAGGTTTTCTCCTTCGCTTATAATCTTCGTTTCCTTCATATGCAAGGGGTTCGCTAGTAGTTATGGTGCAGGATAATGGTATCGTGTTCTTTTATCTTCAATAAGGGAGTAGTTAGAGCCTTCGGCTAGTTAACGTGCTGGATGGCAGTCAAGCTGTAGATATGTCAGGCTATAAGCATTGTTGTACCGCTGGCTAAATCATACAAAATCGCTGACATGATAATTTTTCCTCATCATTTACTTTCGACTCATACAAGAAAATTCAAACATACATAAAACCTCATGCTCTTTACTTTTGCAGTTGTAAATATGTACAACTTACATAATATACGGTATATACGCATAGTGGCGTAATTGAAACCACTTTCTGTTGTAGAAAAATGCGCTCCATAATAGCTGGCGCTTAATTGCATTGTTTACCCCAATGTAATGCGTATGTAGGTATATGTGTAGCTACGGTATTTCCGCTTTAATTATTATTATTTTTCATCCATTATCCGTATCCACAAAACTAATTTTGTCCAATCTGCGACTCAGTTATGTAATTCCCTGGACGAATATACAGATATATTTGTCAAAATATAGGGTGCATCTTAGGTTTATTATTTAGCCTGTCAAATCAGTCGTGTTTGACAGTTATATTTAGCACACTTTGGTTAATTGTCATACAAAACGGACATCCCTACCACACTCTAAATTCTTCAAAATGTATGACCAAAGTTAGATTTCTGTCCGGCAAGCCATATTTATATGTAGTTTTAATGGCAAGGTCCGAAAAAATTCTCTAGGCCCCTTAGACTTAGAAACAACTATTTACAAAGCGAAGTCATTTTTGATCCATAAAACTAAAGATGGAGCTGCAGGCAAATGATGACCACTTTTTGATTTCCCATATTAACGACTTTTATTTAAATGCTTAAAGCTTAAAACAGTGTAATCATTACCTTCTAGGAAGAACTTTGAGTAACCGAATGATAGTAAGAAATGGACCTGTCAGTCCGCCATGTAGGTATATAGTTTGACTTTGGTAGACTGCTTTTTGTGTGGACTCGCCATGTCAAGAGTATGATGATAAAAAGCATTATCTACGATTATTGATCAGAAAAAGTATACAAATATGAATGAATGACAGTGAACAGTGAATGATGTGGTAATGAGCTCCAAACTCCGTTCAAACTCAAAATTTCATAAAACTTACTAACTAATGAAGCCAAAAAGATTATACCTGTATAAGAAATACCCTTTAGGTTAAATGTCTGATCCTTAAGATGGAGATCGCACTTGAGCAACTAAATACAATGAAGCCACAAAATAGTATTCTTGTAATGAGATCAATACAAATCTACTTAAGCGTTTTATTTTTATTCCCACCAGCTCAACGGGATGCCTGAAGGTGTAAGTTCCCAGGTGTTTAAGCCTTGATCTCACAAAAGTGATACAATCAAAAAGAGGTGTTGAGATGTTTCTACTTCGCATGCGGTAAGACTTTCAATCCCATCGTGTGGACGCCGATAGGTCTTAATGACCAGTTAGAAGCTTAACAACTAGGCAAAGACTTATCACTTGGTGACTCAATGCATTTTTTAGCGAGATTAGGTATTCCTTAACTCATTAATCGTGCGTTAAATGCTAGTATGGCTGCTCTACTTTCAGGATAGTCACCTTAACTTAAGAAGGCTACGCTTCGGAACAGTAGATCGGAACAACCTCGGTTTGAAAAACGTTATAAGTCCGGAAACCTAAAGCTAATGTGATATTTATTGGCAATATACTCAATCACCTACTCCCCAGTTACAAGCTTCGACCCAGCCATAAATAAGCTCCCACTCCTCCAGTGGCTTCTACTCACCCATATCATAGAGTTTGGTCTGGCGACTACATGATTCAAAATTTGCGGTATAAAATCAAAGCGTGCGAGGATTCCAGGTTCAGAGTCACGGTCCTTTTAAAGCCCAGCTCTGTCTTATCGCAACGTTCGCGGTCATCTCGTGTTATTTAGAATTTGGACATATATTTTATTTCTATTATATCGTACAATAATTTAAAAAAGTCTGATTCTAAGGGATTCCTTTAATAAAATACTGAGTCGATCTTTGAATATGCTGGATGGAATAAATTATTGTAAATTGTCTGCTTTCATTCAGATCAAATTTAGCGACTTTACTATTTCGACGCAGAATACAGAAAATTATGGTTGACTGTAATCAACACAAAGCACTACATTTTTACTGTAAGTCAAAATATGCATTTTTGACAAGAAAAGCGTTATCTTATCACCGTTCAGAGGCAGCTAAGAATTTTAGAATTGACAGTTAATATATCTCTGAAGCCTGCTAATGAAAAATGTTTCTGGTGAAAAACTAACAATCGATTGGAAGTGGTACCTAGTTCAAGTTTAGACCCCACAACTTTTTATTAATATATATTTAAGTTTTCTCGAAAACTCGGAAATTTTAATTATTCCATATCTTCCGCTCAATTTTTCCCACAGCTCGGCGGCTAATGCAACACAACAATGAAATGCCTGTTGTCAACATGGCCGCGAGTAGAGTGGATATCAACAAATTATTGTTGTCAGCAAACGAAATCGAAAGTGAATTGTGCAGCAACTTCAAATCGGGCAACGAAAATCAAACAAAGCACAAAATGCCAATGGATTGGACAATACAGACATTTGCTTGCGAGCGCAATCAGCCATCGGCAGAACAAATGTATTACAAGGAACCGAAACGACTGTCAAAAGTGTCACCCATTACGCATGAAAGTGAGTCAGTTGCTCATCGCGCTTTTACTGGCCTTGCTGTTGGTGTTGCAAGCTGAAGTTGTTGTTGGGACGTTGGCGATTGCGGAGGTGGCGACAACATCTACGACAGCCACATCTGTCAATTTTAAAAGTATTATACGCATCGGCGACGGCAATATTGTTACCAGAGTGAGTATCAGTTTGATTATAAGAATTTAATAGATGTAATTTTCACTTAACGTGTACTCCCTCTTATTTTTGAGGTTAAGTAATAAAAACAAACAAACTCAAGAGTATGTGGATATAATAATACGCTTTTCTGGTTTAATGATATTATGTATATGTAGGCACAAAAGTCACCTCAAATACTATTAAGGTTGATCATAAGTTTAAGAAATTTTATTTTAAGGTTCATAACAATTTTACCATAAAACTACAAGTGTCACGTCAACATTTACAAAAGTTAAATCCAATTCAGCAAAATACGGCAGTTAATTTATAGTCGTAAAATATGTAAAATAAAAGGATAATCAGGCACCTTCATTTTCAACGATATCAATGAATGCGTGATATCTGAGTTCATCCGAATGGAGGACGAACTATTTGAGTAAAGGCAGACATTTTGAGTTAACAAAGTATTTGATGGACTCGAACCAAGTTTGGTAAATAATATTCCGACGAAGAGGTAGGCTGCCACATACGAGGGAGTCAAGGTAACCCTAAACTATTTGCCAAATTGAGAGTCTATGTCCAGATAAAAATTTGGAGCCGTTGAAGATTTTTTTGCAGAAAGTGATCAAACAAAAATCAGTCAACCCATCTAGAGAGCGGAGTCTGAACTTCGAACTTCGTCAGCTTCATCAGTTCATCAGTATCATAAGTTTTGTTTATGTCTCCTTAGTGACATTTACAATACTATTCTCTTCAGAACCAATTGATTTCGAGATCACAAAGTTTTTTCGAGAAATTTTGGAAAGCGCCAAATTTTCAAATTTTATCCGAAAACTGTATGATGAATAACTCAGAATTATTATATATAAAATCGCCATAAGACGAGGATGAAAGTATTTTTGCGAGTTCCTATAGAGATTTTGAACTCAGTTTGCGATATGTAGCATACATTAGACTGAAACTTTATAGTTCATAAGAACATAAGGTAATTTTAAACAACCAAAAGATGCATTTTTAAAATACAATTGACTGACTTTTAAATAACGTCTTTTAAAATCTTGCCAACCATTAAGATTATTTCATTATCGAAAATTTCGAAAAAAACTAATCACAAAAGAGACATAAAAAAGGTTTTGAGAGGTTATGACTATATTCGTTTTTGTTGATAATGGCAAGATTCTTTAATATCTAGTTCTACCAGAAGTTAATCTTCCTAACTTGTTCCGTAAATCTTTATATATGATAAATCATTCTTTAAGATTTAATATATCACGATATATAGATTCATACATACATCACTAAACATCTACCTCTTTAGCTCTATTAGTTTATTTTCGATGTTGCAAAATATTTAATCTGGTTCAATACATACTCTACTTTAACAAATTTAAGAGGGATTATAATATTATTTGTAAGCAAAAATTCGAACAACAAAAAGTCAGCTGTAATTTCTAAATCGACTTGTTCTGCCCTATCAAAATGACACACGAGCCCATTTAAGGGAAATTCTATAAATAAACACGAAATATCTGTGTTTACATATGTACTTCAAAATAAGGGTACAAATATGGTAGCACTTATTTACGCTTACGAGCGCGCTGTGAAAAAACCGAAACGGAACTGCATGCTGACAGCACGCTTTTTGCACACATCACACGCTTAGACGAGCACCAAAAATAAACGAAATCTACTCTAGTGTGGATAGCCTTTTAAAAACTAAGTGGAATAGGGTTATGATATTAAAGCGCAATATTTCTGCAGTAAAAATAAAATATTCGCCACAGTTGACTGCTCGTTTCTGAACGAAAATCCGCAAGCAAATCACTTGCAATTCCCGAAAGTAGTTTTTTTCTCCATAAAAAAATGACATTCACGCCCACTTAGCGAAAAGTTGGGTTTGGTTTTGATTGTTCAAGTTGCGAAAGGGGAGCTTTTGAGCGCTTTTTATGAATCAATTCGGCGTTGAAGGCCAAATGGTTAAGAAATTCCTCATTCAAAGCAGTTCTACAAAATGCTATATATCACAGATTGCGGTAGACTACCAAATAATGAGAAGTGGCAACATCATAAAACTGTTCAACTCTCATAAAAATTATGAAGAGAGAATGCTGTTCTATTAGTTATGACGTCATGACCTGTCAAATGCACTTTAAGCAAGAAACTTAACTTTGGCTGCACCGAAGTTCTAATACCTTTCACAGGTGCATTTCTTATATCATAAAAGGATATAAAAGATTTTTATCTTGTTTTTTGTCGTTCATTATATATGACAGCTATATGCTGTAGTGGTCTATATGCTGCAGTGGTCCGATCTCGGCGGTTCCGACAAATGAGCAGCTTCTCGGGGAGAAAGGGACGTGTAAAAATTTCAGACCCTTATCTCAAAGACTGAGGTACAAGTTCACGTTAATGTATATGTTGTTTTATAGAGCCTTCGACGTTTCCTTCTGGGTGTGACTAATTTCGTGGCAAACTTAATATACCCTGTTCAGGGTAGAAAATATCTAACGGCAGTGTCATAATCTCCATAAATATGTTCCTTAAATATATTTTTGCATATTTGTAGGACGCTATTGAACAGTCGCTTGTAACGGTACATGATATCGCCACCGAAAATTTGGGCACCTTATGCATCTCTACGCTATACCGCCCTTTGCAAGTGCCAATTAATTCCGAGCGTTTTGAAAGCGCACGACAAAAGGCCGATTTAGTGGCCTCAATACTGCAGGAAGTTGGGATTGTACGACATGGTGGTGAGTCTAAAAACATATTCACCTCAATTACATTCCACTATTTATTGTTTCATAACCTCAACAATAATTCCTTCTATATATATATTACTAATATCGCCTTACGTATAGGTCTCAGTGATGCATTGGCTAAGGGCTTACTTAGTGACGACTCCACTACTGGCGCTAGAATATTAGCGCTAAACCTTACTAATGGCGCCGTGCAGTCGTATGTTTGGTGGGTTAAAAGTTATCATGAGAAGACTGGCGAGTTGCAGCGCTACGAGGAAGATGGCTTACAGATTGGAAAGAAGCCGATTCAAAGTTATCCATGGTAAGTGGTGAATTTTTATTATTTTACAATGTAGTCTAACTCGCTATGCCATTTGTTTGTTGTAAATGGAGATGGTAAAATTCAAAACCCCACCAAGTAAGTATCTCCTTTAGTAAGTTGGACTTGATCTAAATTTTGAACTTAATTCACTCAAGCAACATAATTTATTTTGGATTGGAACATTTCGCTCAATGGGCTGAAGCTGGGGTCGCATGTGTAAAAGACCTTTGTCATAATACTTTGTTCCATTATACCTTGATACAGACCTTTGGTAGTGTTCATCTAACAGAATACGGAGCATTGTAAAAAGTAGCTCAACAACCAGGGATCTAAACACTGTTCACTTCTTTGACATTTATTCGAATAAATAATTCCCAAATTAGGGTTTCACTGTTTTCGATTTCAATTTTTTTGTCGGACAGATCTATCTTAGTGTAAGAAAGTGACGGAAGTTGTGCTCAACTCGTCAGCTAAAATTAAAAAAATTAATTAAATTTAGAGCAATTTTCGCTAACAACGAGCTTTGTTTCGTTATCGAATATACATACATGTATAATATTATTCTAGGTTCGACGATGAGAACACATCGCCAACTTTACGCTCGCCCAAATTTGCACCGAGCCCACCGAATATGTATTATAAAGGATGGTGGACATTTCCCTATTTCTCCTGTACATTAAGTAAATGGATACTCTCCTATAGTATCGCAATACCACCGAGTGGACGACACGGTTTACGTGGCTTCATTAGTATCGACATCGATGTAACCGGTCTGAGGGTCAATCAGTGTGAAGCTCCCATTTTTCGTTTAAGTTTCCAGCAAATGCAAAATCGACGACTGCACCTCACCGATACACCAGCTCCCGAATCCATAGCGGATATACAAGCGTTTCATGGTTCACACAAATGTCACCGTGATACTATGAAGGTTAGTATAAATGAAGCCAGTACGAGACTTCGATGCATATGAGTGTTGCAAACGAAAGCGTTTACTCGGCTAATGTTTAGTTGATATTAACAAACATTAATTTATTTTCAGTGCGACTATCGCGTCCCCAGCACGGAGACGCCGACAATAACCACTAGCAAAATACTCTCCACACCAAATAGCTGGTCACGTGGCGCTTATCAGTGCCTTTGTCGGCGCGGTTTCTACTCGATGCGACATCCCGACGGTTTTAATGGCACCATTATGGAGATCGCTTGGAAGGAGCATCAAGAGAATGTGAGCAATTATTATGCAGACGTCTTTACTTGTCTGCAATGTGAGCCCGGCTGTGATTTCTGTACGGGGCCCGAGCCATGTTTAGCCAACTACAATTGGCCTTTTAGGTAAATACCAGCGAAGAGCTCCAATTAGTTATTCTATTCCACTTAAATCTTATTGCAATATAATTTGTTTGCACTTTCAGAATATCGCTTTTAGTAATATCAATAGGCTGTGCCATTGGAACTTTCGTGCTGGCAGGCTACCTTTTTCATCATCGCAAAGTAAAAGTTTTCAAAGTGGCCAGTCCAATATTTTTACTAATTACACTGATTGGATGTGCCATAATGTATTTAGAGGTAAGTGATCTGTAAGATTCTTTGAAATGTCTCATATATGTTAGTAATTTGGTTAGAGATGTATTAATGTTTTTAATGAGACTCTTAGAACTTATTTGTCTGTTCCCTATTATGCCTCTAAAATCAAAAAAGGGAAATGGTCGAAGAGAAAACACGATAAAGAGGCAACATAACATATAGCCTTTAGTTGCATTCAAAGTTCCAAAACCTGAAAGATCTGCAATAAAACGCTTACTTTCTAATGTAATGTCGACCAGTTTTCCCGTGTTCGAATAGATCACAACCCAGAATTGTGATTTGGTTAACCCGAAGGGCTTATGTTATAGCTTTTGATCTACCTATGAGCACCAAGCTTTTGCAGACATGTAAAAATTATCCTACCTGTCATTTAAAACTCCGAAAGAACATCGGTTCGTAGGTATCATTTAGAAGACAGGCTCTTGAACTTTAAAAGTAAGTCTGTTAGATTTTATCTAGTACTGCTTACCGCTCCAAACAAGGTTAGATCGCTGAAATAACAACTCTTGGCTTAATTTTATAGATTTGCAATATTTTTTTGAGTTTTGTTAAAAAAAAAACCTCGTGAACGATATCGGTTTCAGCACTTTTTTGAGATTTCTGAAGTTGTTTAGAAGATTTAGTTTACAAAATCGTTCGAAGTATTGTGTAAACCAAGTTTTTAAAAATGCATATAATTTTGCAGATGGTGGCCATTTTCCCTTATTTAGACATGACATGGTGTATCGTGACAAAGTGGACTCGTCACATGGGATTTTGTATCACATACACATCTCTGCTAATGAAAACGTGGAGGTAAGTACAATAAAAATGGATGTATATGCGATTTAGGAACAAAATTGCATAGAGCCTAGATTAAAAGCTTGAGTCTTTCGTTTACGAAATAATTTTCTTTTTTTTAATATTCAAAATATTTGTTCTTTTTAGAGTTTCTCTCACGTATCGCGTTAAATCGGCACACAAAGTGAAACTCACCGATCAACAACTTTTACAATGGATGGTGCCGATACTGTTAGTAATGCTTATCTATTTGGGCACTTGGACGATCTCAGCCACTCCGTATGCCGAAGTGGTAGGTCTACACTAAATTTATCATAATTACGAAACATTTATTTAACGGCTCTCTTGTCTTCCCATAGATATACGACCAGGGCGGTTTGAAGTTCAAGCAGTGCTCATACAATTGGTGGGACCATAGCTTGGCCATCGGCGAAGTGCTCTTTCTGGCTTGGGGCATACGTGTCTGCTACAATGTTCGCAACGCAGAATCATTGTATAATGAAGCGCGTCTTATTTCCTATGCAATTTACAATATTGCCATTGTTAATATAACCATGGTCGCATTCCAGTGAGTTTTGTTACCTTCCTTACTCCAAGTTTTAACATTTTTTAACTACTACTAACGAACTCTCTTTCAGTCTTTTCATATTTCCAAGAGCTGGACCAGATATTAAATATCTTCTCGGCTTCATACGTACTCAATTTTCTACAACAACAACAATTGCTCTGGTATTTGGTCCGAAAATCTCACGTGTTCTCAAAGGGCAAGGTGACAAATGGGATCAGAAGGCCAAAGTACGCAGTATAACTGCATCGTTTTCATTGAATGGCGTTGGCCTGGTGCCCGAAGAGTCTCCTGACTTGTATCAGGAAAACGAAGAATTGAAGGTTAGAATAATTTTGGTATAAAATATAAGATGTCATACTACAACTGTTGCATGCAAAAGATATAACTTAGGTAAGCTTCACTAGTTTTAGTTCGTTTTAGAAGAGTGGGGTTTGTGTAACTTCTAATCGGTAAGTCGACGCAAGTTCGGATCTATTCAAGTCCTACTCTATTCTTCTAAAGCATGTCAAAAACGTGTATCCCTATTCTTAAAATCGATTTTATTCGATATTAGAAGATACATCTTTGGTTATCAACACTGATTGAACGTTACGACCATTTTATGAGTAACAAACAAGCTGATTGTCTTAATTATGAAGTGTTATCGAAAATATTTTGCATGTATTAGTACTGAAATCTATCTATCTGTAGGAATAATGGTATAAAAATCAATATATATCCGAATTTTTTATAGTCTCCATGGTTTTTCCCTCTTCGAAAATATAATTGCTTCACCAATCCAACATTTCGAACATTTGAAAAATGTCTTCCAGATCTGATAAGTGATATTCCTTTCTTTGGAATACCGAGAAATTTTTCACGAATTTTATCTAATCATTAATATTAATATAACCTATCATCATCCAACCAATATATTAAATCCAATTCTCAAAGTTGAACTCATCTGATGAGTAGTCAACAGGCTAATTGTCTTATATATTGAATATTATCGATATTATTTTGAAAGTATTAGTACTGAAATCAATACCAACAGGCTTATTTTCTTATATTTTGAGTATTATCGCTAATATTTTGCAAATATTATTATTGAAATCGATATTTTATAGATAAGTATATCAATGGGTATCACAAATTACAGTGTTTTTTGGAGTTTGAAGAGTGTTCCACCAATCTATCATTTTATGTAATATACCTTCTTGGTCTCATAAGTGGGCATCTTCTCTTGTGAAAAAACGAAAAATTCCTCGAGACTTTCATCCAATCATTAATATTCTTATAACCCATCAGCAACCAACTCAATATTTTTTATGAATTAAAATTTTTTGTTTGTAATTTTTCAGGAACAAATCCAGAAGTTGGCACATCAAATTGAGTTCATGAAGACTGTGCACATGCAAATGAATAATCGGCATTTAAAACCGAAACCCGGTGGCTATTTCACTATAACATCGACTTCATTGCAGGCGCCGTTCAGCAAAAATACGATGTCATCCGCCCAAACACAAACTTCTAAAGGCACTGAGGACTCTCTTGGTGGCAATAAAAATTTGGGGTAAGAAAATATTATTGCAAACAAATTTTAGAATTCTACATAGGTTTTTGTTGCATTTACAGCTTCCCCACCCATTTAACACCGTCAAAAGCCCGAACGAATAAGGAGAAAGTTTGACGAGATCAGCGAAGTGTAAAAGATTGCTCAACTGAATTTAATTTTCAACACTCAATCGATAGTCATAGCGGTGAATACTCACCACACTCAACACCTTCCATAACACACCCACCGCCAACGCTCGGTCAAGCCGAGCACGATCTACTCAAACAGTTTGCTTTGCTCTTTGGCCCCGACGCCGATGTCAATACATATTATATATTAGATTCAGATATTGATGGAGATGACGAAGACACTGGCGTTAACAGTTCGGCAGCCAATGTGCATATCGAACAGACGATTGCCGAAATTAATCAGATAGGTTCACCTTTGGAAACCAGCCGTACAACGCCGACAAAGAGTGTAACCAGCTCAATGACAATTTCACCAGAATCACCATCGTTTACAGTTAATGAGGCGCATCTACCGCATATACCATCTTCATCTACATCCAGCTCATCCATGTACGCTATACGCACACCATCACCGATTCGATTTCGTTTATTGGAATCGCCATGCTCCGATATCGACGGTATCACCCTTACTGAGATGGTGGAAGTACATTATCCGCCGATGAAAGCACACGACGTAAGAGTGAATATGGAGCATTTACTGGTTGAAGGTCAAACTGAGGTTGGCGTCAATGTCACAGATGATTTTCTGAGTCAAAATAATAATACATCCTGTTCTATGTCATCCACCCTAACAGATAGCAAAACTGTTGATGTACGAACACCGATAGTGGTTTAAGCATGTGTTAAAAATATGTATGTATGTTTGAATGTGGTATCCATGGTATTTAATTGGGCTTAAGTTGGTAGTGGTCACATTCATGTGCTTGTACCCAAGCAAGATTATTTGAAGTGCAACAAACCACAAAAACAACCAAAAATCTATAAAAACAACAAAGCTAATTGTGGTAAATGAGGCGCAATGTATGTATAAGATTCAAAAACCTAGCTTCGTAGTTCGTTGTTAAAAAGTATGCAGGCTTATAAATGTAATTAGGTGACGAGGTTAAACTTAACAAAAAAAATTATTACTTTCTAGGGTCGTACGGCATACGATAGCAGAATATCTTAAGGAGTCATTTGCTTAGTCAAGGTATTTCTAAAGCTACATATTCTTACGGAAGCCATTTAGATGGCGCCTAAGGCTCAGTTAGTGTGTAAAGATTAGGCGTAAGAAGACCCCAAGCGTACTAATTAATGGAGAACAGAATTAAATTTCTTCATTTATTGGCGAGTTCCACAGTTTTCAGACGTAGGGTGACTCTTCCCTAACTTTGTTGGCGAGAACTTGCTTTTGTCAACGGATGACCAATATTTTGGCCTTTTCCACCGAGGGTTACTATTAAAACTGTCGGCTTTATATAAAAAAGGTCTTCAGGTCCAACGTAGTCTGATCATCGAATAGAATTTCAACGCGATAATTATCCTCCTTCGGATAAGGAATCTAAAGTCTGTCAAACCAGCTGTAATTATAGCAAGTATTGACGTTATAAAAAAAGAACGGAAAATTTTAAGAATATTAACGCAGCTGCTGAATTAAAAAAAAAAATTGTTAGGTTATAAAAAATAGTATGAGTAAAGGGATTTAGTGATGTGTAGAAAAATTATAATGCTATTAGTTTTTGAGGGCATAAAACTCTTTAGAGTCAAAAAGTTAAACACGGCTTGCTTGTTAGTTCACAGATACAAGTATTACTACTTGGCCTCTTTTACCATAAATTGCTTTGTTATTACTGTTATACTTTGTAATTTACTCTACTCGACTTTGCTATATTAATTTAGTAAATTTATATCTGTAGAGATACTGAGGAAATATTGTTTATTGGCTTGGTTCTAGCGCTTGGACTCTTTAGAATATTTTGTACATACATATGTAAATTTATATACATATTTATGTATGTATATAAAATACATAAAGCCTTTTCTCTGATTTCCCAATAAATTTGGAGGCACAAAGGAAAAATAAGACTCTTTACGGTCGATTGAAAGCGTTTAATACTGGCCACAAATTTATCATTGGCTAAAGTCCTGACCAGGGTTGCAGATAATGCAATAAAAAATTAATTGAATTTAAATTTGGAATAATTTTTATTTTTTTTAATTTTGTAATCCCGAAAGCCTTAATAATAACAATTTTTAAATTTTTAAAACCCAAATACCGGATTTAAAATAAAAGAAAATAATTTTTAATTTCAAAATTCGGATTAAAATTTATGTTTAATTAATCTCGATCACCAGAAAGAAAAAAAGATTAATAGCAAAAATTTAATTAAAAACCTATATATTTTTTTTTAAATCTTAAATACCGGTTTGAAAACGAAAAAAAACTTCTTAAATTCCAAAATTAACATAAAACATTAAAAATAATTTTTTTTAGAATTAAAATTTTTTCGTGCTTTTTTACCTCGTGTTCTACCATTTTTGTCATCTTTTGAAAAAAAGTTTATTTTTAATAAAATATCCTTATAGTATAACTGCTTTTAATTATAGTATATATGTAAATCTTTTTTTATATTCCTTTTCATTGCAGCTTTTAATTTGAAAAATAATTTTTTTATTTGTTACTCAACTTTTAAATTTTAAAATAGTTTTTCAATTTTTATGCAAGATGTTGAAGATTAAAAAATAAATTTAAAATTTTTATTATTAAATATTAATTAGTCCCAAACATGAAAATTGAATTTTTAACCCCAAAATATCAAAATTAGAATTAAAAATTGAAATTTTACTTTTTAATCGCGAACATCTTGAAAAAAATTGAGAAAATATTTTTAAAATGAAAAGTTATAAAAAAATTATTTTTCGAATTAAAAAAAAAAAATCAAATTAAATTAAAATCAAATTATCCAAAATCGTAATTAAAAATTGGAAACTTATTTTAAATTAAAAATGTTGGCTTAAAAATATTCGCAACCCTGGTTCTGACCGCAGAAATAACCCAAAAATGCAATTATCATGACTTTTCTCTTTTGCATTACCGGCTCTTTAAAATTATTTGTTTCTAGAATTTTATGCGTTTTATGAAAAATACTATGGACTGTCAAGATTTACAATATTTTGTATTATATATAATATTTAATTTTTGTAATTTTTATTTACCTTTCTAACAAATTTATAAATTTTAAGTATTTTGAAAGCAAATGTAAACCAAATCTATGCTCGCAATACATACAGATGAATATGTGTATTGATATATTGATTATCTGCTTATAATTATTTTATATTTATGTATGTATGTATGTATATAAAAGAAGGCATTTGCTTAAAATAGTTAATTATGAATGAAAAGTGTAAGCACGTTGGGCAATTTTTTTCACTTCGTTGAAAAAGAAACGTAATGCGATAAATAAAAGTTAGAAATATGCAATTTCTTTAGAATGAGTAACGGTATAGAATAAGCTAGTTTGCAAATTGTACGATATTTTCTTTGATTAATTTTTATCAATATTAAACTTATCTCAATACTGCACTTTCAATAATTTCCTTCCTTAAAACGCAAACATTTTAAATTTAACTTTGCATAAAGAAGTTTGAGTATAGTAAATAAGTAAGATATGCCTGTGTCTGCATAAAACAGGACATGTGTGTTAAATTAAATTGTTTGTAAATGTAAGCATTTGATGTACAATACCAACTGACCAATAAACTCGAATGAAAAGAAGAATAATTGTTAACAGTTTTGAAAAAATAAATAAATAAAGCTAATAATAATATAAATGGTATACAGAATTCTTAAAATAAATTAGCAGTATTACCTTGCACGGTTAGCACGATGTATCAATTAGTTTATTTGCTGATGGTTGTAGTGCAAGAGAATATTCTCGAAATAGCATAGGAAATGCTGTTGCGATGTCAGTCAAGTGGCGCACAACGGAACAAAATGCAGTCAACTTCAAATCTTATAAATTTAGCAAATTATAAACTCATTTACCTACATACATAAGTATATGCATGCACATATATATAATTAACATTCATAAAATACCAAAATTTCTATCACTTTCTAAAATTAATCCCTCAAAGTAACTTCAAATACTAAGAAGAAATGCTCTTTGCTTTTGCCTGCACTGTGGTGAACAAAGTAGAGAACACAAATCAGCTGTTTTGTAGCAAATCGCTTCATCTATAAATCAGTATGTTTGGAAGTGATTTATAACCAACCAACAAGAACACATTAATCACAAACAAAACACTTTTAAGATTTTAATAAACACAAAGCAGACTACTATACAGATAAACAAATTGTTGTAATTACAAAAAAAAAAAAAAACTGCGAGTATTAGAAATTAACAGCGAACATACATATGTATGTAGCTTCCCATATGTATAACCTATTTCCGTGAAATTTTGAATTGCTCTAACAATTGCTTGTCATTACGCATGACACTTCCGCACAAATTTTAAGCTTTTCACCACGTGGTGGTTTATATTTAATTACATCCGTAAAATTTTGCATTTCACTAACAACTGCCTGTCGACAAAACTGTCATCGCGCAACCAACTTCCGCCCAAATTTAAAGCTTTTCACCGCACTTTGGTGAATATTTAATTGCAAAGGGAAATCAGTCCAATAATTCAAAATGGTTTCTTCACCAACGTAAATGCGAGCAAATTTCAAGTTTTGTACCTAATTTTATTAAACTAGTGTGTAATTCAGTGTTTTAACGGTAAAACAAGCATGAACTGTGTAGTTGAAAGTGTTATATTTTGCTGGGTGTATAGGGAAATAAGAAAATGCAATTATTCCACAAAAGACATAAAGCCGCAATTTAGTAGCAGCTAGCGCATAACCTGCACACACATTCATATGCGGAGCGCCAATTGGTACTTAGCTAAATGGTAACAAGTAAGTTGCTTAATAATCATTACGTATCTATTATTTGATTACATCTGTTTTACTTGCAACCGTTGAGTGTGTATGGAATACTTTGTTGGCGGCAAAAGTACGAGATTGTAGTAAGCTAAAAGGAGCACTTATACTAATGTCGTAAACCGAATAACAAATTACATCTAAAAACACTCAAGCCGCCAGCGGGTAATACAAATTATTCTTATGCGAAAAACACAATAGGTACATTGCTTCATTATTAAACCAGTTATACAAATGCGAAAATTAAATAGTACTGCTCCATTCGAATTTAAGCAAATTTTCATCAGACCCAATATAATATGCTGCAGCCTGCAATTATTTTTATAAAAATGTATATGAGTTTGTCATCAGTTCCATCTGCGTTTTTCCATTCTCTTCTATTTTTAATTGCCACTTTCGGTTGTTTTTGAATCGCCTCCTTACGCCCCTTTCAAAATTAATCATTGTTGTGGTGGCGTCTTCAAAAATTTCTCATAATAGATTTGGAATATGCTGCCGTGATTATACGAAGCAGTTGCTTTTATTAACATTACAACTTCCATGTTATAAATGAGTATCATTACCAATGAATATTGAATCAAAATTCCTATTTTGTTTAATTTTTAAAAATTGTATTCGTGTCTGACGTGATTTTGAAGAAGTAAACGACAATACATATGTGCTAATAATAGCACAATAATATAGCTCAAATAATGGTAAATTGCAGCACTCTCCATAAATGTATTATTATTGCGTCAGCTTAATATTGTTATTATACAGGAACAGGAAATATTGGATGAAGAATTTCGCTGCTATATGCGAGTAGCGCGTTCACTGGAAGGAACATTGAAGCGGCCCAAAGGTAGAATAGTTCAAATAAGTTTTTAAATGTAAAGTTTTTACTTCAAATGCAGATCGCGAGTGTTGTAAGCAACTGTTAAAAAATTGTGAACGGCTTAATAGCGTAGACAATGTTATGGTTAAAAATAATACAAACGTTTTTATGAAATACTTGTTGAAAGTGATTAATTGGACAAGTGTGAATCAGCCACTACAGCTATATGATAAATGGGTATATACAAATGTAAAATGCAATACTATATCCTAATCTCTAATAACGCGTTTGAATTATTTTTAAATTCAACACATTCTCCACTTATAAAATAGTATCAAGGATCGAAAACTGAAGTGAAATTGTGGCTTCAGGACAACAAATCATATATGGCTGTTAAAGAAATGCCAAACGGTGCGCTCGCTATATACTGTGCCGTTGCGAATTCACCAAGTGCCGGTTGGCAAGACGGTGCATTGAAAATTATGAAAGATTCTAAAGATCCAGATGCAGAAGAAATGTGAAGTTCTATTTGCACTAAATGTTGTCTGTTTTATTATGTATACATTGTAGTGTATGTGTAAAAAATTTTGTACGTGAAATATATATTTTTACATTTTGAACTTAAAGCGTAATGCTTACATTAAGGCACTTAAGTTTACGGACGATTACATAATAATGGTCATTATTATAAAAAGAAAACCAATAAAATGGACGGAATGGTTTTTTCGAGACATTTTTCGTTTGATTCGTTGGTTAATTCATAAACTTCTTGCCTGACAGCGTTAATATTGCAATTATTGCTATTGCGAAACTCCTTTTTGATAAATTAATACTTGAGGAGCCATTACAGCTGTCATTAGAGCAATAACATTCTTCCCAATAGACGCCGTTTTCATAAACACCCCAATTGCAGACACCAGTCACACCTGTCTCGGATACCGAGGCGCAGCGCCTAATTACTTGACGCCAACGGCCATCCCCTACATAAAAATAAATATTTAAAATGCACATTTTGTTACAATTTATAAAAACGTAACTTACAGATGAAACCCTTAGGGCCTTGCTGTACTACCTTCATGCAAAACGATCCGGGCATATGTGATTCATCGCTGTTACATTCGATAGGGATATGTTCCGTCCGATTAAATGGTTTATAAGCACCACAACTATCGTAACCTTTCCGATCCTGATCAGAAGAGCATTGGTAACAGCGTATAGCAAGAGAACCTTTAAATTATGTAAAAGTGTTTAGACATGTAAATATACTTATTAACAAGCCATTTAAGCCACACCCAAGCCATGCTTTGAACTATGCTTGAAAGTACGTATCAATAAGAAAGTGTCTTACCCACAGTGCATAGCGATAACACAATCACCACATAATTCACAAAATGACGCATTTTATTTTACAATTCGAGAAATTTAAACAAAATCTGAGTTAATAATATATAATTCTATATAAAATATAAACAAGCTACATAAACACAAATAGCATTGTTAACAAATTTGACATATACGAAGTACAGGGGTACTCAGATATCGTAAAATATTACTTGAACAAGTGTTGCCAGAAACTATCTAATCATACTATTTCCTTATACATGCGATATTAGATGATTTAATTCGAGGCTATTTTATTATATAGATATATATAAAGTCCGCCTCTTTAATATAGAAGAATAATATCTTTTTCACAATTTTTTTTCGTATTCGTTCTTTTACTTAAGGACTGAGTAGAATGGGTGTTTAGAATTGTGTTTAAATATTTTTTCATGTTATGTAAATCCGGCAATACTACCAAGGTGTCAAATTTTAATCATCAAGCCATCGTGTATTTTGGGTGGGGACGCGTTTCTCAATATATTGTTTGTTAGGAATTAAACTGCATTTATAAATTCGTACAAAAGTTTCTTTTTACTGAGTATAGTACAATGAGTAATTTCCAATATTCAATATTTGTTGGCATACTTCTGTGTTGCTTAGTACAACTGGGTAAGTAAATATAGTTGAGAATTAAAAATTTGAAATCAAAATGACGCACCCATTCCTCAAAATTGTTTTAGGCTTTGCAATTAAATGTTGGGACTGCCGCTCAGACAACGATCCAAAATGTGGAAATCCATTCGACAATAGTTCATTGGTTATTACTGATTGTGCACAGGAGCCTGAATTGCAACACTTACCTGGTGTACGACCGACAATGTGTCGGAAAATTCGTCAAAAAATGCACGGCGAATGGCGATATTTCCGTAGTTGTGCCTACATGGGAGAACCTGGCATTGAAGGTGATGAGCGTTATTGTCTGATGCGCACAGGAAGCTACAATATTTTTATGGAATACTGCACATGCAATAGTAAAGATGGTTGTAATGTTGCCAGTCTAATTAGTGGGAACAAAATTGCAATATCGCTCAGTACATTATTAGTCGGTGCAATTGCTTGGACATTACGCCTTTAAAATAATGTGACTTCACTCCATATCATTTATAAGTAAACTGTGCCTTTTTTAAGTGATTTATTAATCGAATATGCATACTTGTATGTAACTTAGTACAATTAAGAACTGTTAAGACAATTACTTAACATTTTAAACATATCCGTCCAAAACGATGTATACATAAATTAACTTAACAAAGTAATAAACAAAAAAGACTAAGGAAACGATATTCTTACTTTGCCGAGTTGGTTTATGAAAACATTAGGCATTCCAAAAATCGTTTATTGTATTCAATAAAACCAAAGTCAATTTATTTATATTGACAAATTAAAATTAATAACATAGCGTTTGCTTATTATTTACCATATAGTAAAAATTGGCCTACTTTCAAACTTAGTGGTTACATCTAGAAGGAAACGTCGGAGACCTTATAAAATATATATATGTATACATTTAAATGATAGGCGGGACGAGCTGAGTTTTTTTTCCATGTCCGTCTGTTTGTAGATAGAGATATCGTTCTGAAATTGCGCGTACACATAGCGCAACTCTTTACTCTAAAAAATAAAATAAATTAAACAACTTCTGGAAACTATTTTTACTGAAACTACTTTTATTAAATTCTTTAAATACATTTTGTATAAATTAATAAAATATTGTTTTTTAATACCATCAGCTCTCTAAATGCTTACTTTTGTAAATGTGTAAGTGTATCATATTTTTCTAGATAATACATATGTAACACCAGATCGAAAAACATTTTTTGTATTGTTTAATTTTACAAATTACTGATAAACTATATTATTTACATAGTTAGAGACAGGCAATTGTTATGTATGTACATATTTAGTATTTTTCATGTTACGACATAATAAATTTGCAATTTGCAAATATTCTACCAAGAGTTTATTTAGTTGATTGTCTCTAACAATATTCAACAAAATATAATTTACATTACAAATTGCATAGCGACCAAGCTAATTAGCGCCGCCAAGCTGATCACCATGAAACCAGCTGAGGAAGCATTGCAGAGATCACCCTTGCAAATGTGACAGCTCTGTACTTCGCGACTGTGGGAGACTGTGCAAACATCAGGCTTCTGACCCACTACTTCAAAGTGACAGTCACGTGACACTATAATACCAGCTTTGTCTGTAAAAAAGGAGGAAAAGAAATACATTTTTTATTTGCATACATTTAATAACGGTACATACACTTTAATTTCAAAATGCATGACTAATATTTTGAAGGTGTTTTATTAGCGAATGAAAACAAATATTCGCTGGCAGCAATAAAATATGGAATTTGTAATAAAAACAAAAAATAGATGTGAATCAGACGCTGCATTCGTCATGGTTAGCGGTTAAAATTGTAAAAATTCCATATTATTAACTTTAAAATTTTAAAATTTAATATTTTTAAATGTAATGTAGTGCACCATTGAGCGCCGCAGGGGATAATAACTTTCTATGAAGAAGGCTTCTTTGCTTTAGAAGAGAATTTGTAGCGGATCAAGGTTAAAAATCATAACCGTTTGCATTTAAATAATTGTTGCTGTTGTAACGGTTATCGGCACCCTTTCTTATCGAAATCACATAGCCGTAACCAGCCGTTAAACGGGGTCGAGACATAAGGAGAGGGTTGCAAGATACTTTGATACTTTTAGATTGAGCGGGTTTGCTTAGAAGTGATTAGCATTCTGTGAGGTCTCTTTTAATGAAGGACCAGTGTATGCTGAGTACATCTGGACAAATAGAAGTCTAACCTGCTGCAATATTCAGAATGCAACTGCGGGAGGTTCATTCTGGGTTTAAGAATTTTTCAACTGCGAAAGTGGTGAATTGAGTTTTAAATTAATATTAAGAATGGAAAATGTTAGAGTTATTAACTTCTTTTAAATAATTTTTTTATTAATTTATTGTTGTTGTTCTTTTAGTATAAAATATATTATTTCTATAAGTGTTGCTGAGATGGCATATAGTAGAGTCCATTCGGTTTATATTGAACCGATTATAATAGGAACAGTTAGAAACGAATTTAACATATCGGTATATTACAACAACAATAGTTTAAGCTAAGTCTTGCTTAAAATTTGAATTTGAAAATCGTAAAGTGATATTGTTTGCGTGTACTTAGCTTAGTTTGTGCTCGTTAAATCAGCTTTCGAGTTGATAATTCAAAGCCAAATGCAAGGTTTGCAGATATGGATATTCACATGAATTGTAAAAGTTTTTAAAAATGGAAAGTGGTTTGCTTAGTGAAATTGACGTTGATCTAATGTTAAGACTTTGTAGGTTATGTGGACAATCGCCAGTTTTTAAACTTTGACAATTTTTTGTATGCAATGTGAATTGTTGCATATTAACAACTAGTAATAAAAAAATTGCTGTTTTTATAAAAATAAAAAATAAAAAATATTAATACATACATACATACATTGCTAGTAATTAATTAATTTATGTTATTAGTTTTTGTTTTTAAATTATGAAATCAACTGCACCTACCGCTGGTTACAACTTTGTTGCATTTGGTAACCGGCAACAACTGATCCATAGTGTTAGGTTTCGGCACGTGATCACAATCCACCGATTGAATATTTACGGTGGAATCGATGACGTCCTTGGCGCAATTGGCGTCCGTTAGCGACTTGCACTGATAGCATTTGATGGCATGCCCTGAAAATGTAAAAAAATAGTTAATTTTTGTTGATAATGCGAAAATAAAAAAAATTAGTATGTAATAAAATAACAGAAAATATATATAGATATAGGTACATATATATTTATACATATATATATTTTATGGTAGACATTTAATACTATTATAATAAACTATTCCATACAGTAAAAATAATATTTGTCAGTGGAAAGTGTAATGCATTTTCTATTAGACATTTAATTAGAATGATAATTATTTTTGTTATTTTGTTTTTAATTTTGAGCACATACAGAAATATATTTTTGTTATTTATGAATTGTTTTAATTTCTAACATAATTATAACATAAACTATGCTATCTTTTAAATTGAATCAACCTCTACACAGTGGCCTAAATTTTACTAAAATCGGTTTAGTAGCTTAGTAGTTTACGCCGGACTAAATGAAATTATTATATACATACATATATAGAGTATAAGTTTAAATAATTAAATATGCAAATTTTATTCAATAAAACTTTCTCAAGAATTTTAAGTTTCTCTCATATACATACATACATAAATGTTTTTATAGAATTTTTAAACCAGTTTGAAATTAAATTATTAATACAGCGTTTTATATACATATTTATACATACATATAGACGTTATAAGTTCACTTATTGCGTCTAAACTTTGACGTTAAAGAAAACTGTATTGTATTGAACGACGTCGTTACTTTGCTTCGATTGTCTAACAAAAACCAGTTTTTTTTTTGTAATTAAAGAAGACAGAGCTGTAGCAGGCAAGTGTCTAATTCAGAGTTTATTTGCATAAGCTTACATATCTACATTACAAATACGTATTTGAAATTGTATGTCAGTATACTTGTATGCCTAAAACGCCCAAATGCGATCACATGAGTTTACATATACATACATACGCATGTAAATATGTAAATTTCGCATTGAAAGCTGCAAGTCTGAGGCGTTTTTGAATGTCTACTGAACAATTTACTCGAAAAACATTATGACAAAATCGCTATTTATAAGAAAGCGTCGCTGCAGATGTACATATTTTTTATTATGTTGTTGTTTTTTTTGGTGCGTATGTTTGTGCTCGTATGTATGTATTTAAGTGCGTTTGCGCTTAGTCAAGCGGCTGCTGGTACAAATGTTGTGGGTTTCATGCAAAATTAAATTAATTTTTAAAGTAAATATGCACAAAAAAGTAAATATGCACGTTGTATGAAAATTATAAAAAATTATAAAAATCTCTACTTTTAAGTGTCTGTTGGAATGTCAAACACACTTTCAGGCATCTAACTCCGACCTAGGGTCGTCAAGGTTATATTTTATTACACTGTTATTGTCACTAATTAACGTTTGTAACGGCATACATAAATCTTATATGTATAAATATATATATTTATATATATGTAAGTATATTCTCCGCTTACCGTTGGGCAATAGACAGGCGGCGAAGAGCACTAGCGCAATAATTTGCTTCATTTTGATTCTGACAAAATTTTTTTCGTTCACAAACACTTGAAAAATCAACAAGTTTTCTTTATTCTGCAATAGAATAACCAAACCAAAGGTGTATACTCGAAGACAGTTCAATTTAAACTGACTGAAATTGTTGCTTGAGCTTTGGAGCGAGTTGGCGCTGGTTTGTGTTTTCAGTTTTCAAATAACAAATATGTGCACAAGTCTTCATACATATTGTATATATATGTATATATGTATGTCTATGCTTACATTTTGGTTTATATGTATATATATATATTTAATTTCGCTTTTTCACGCGCGTATGCCTTGTGTTATTTAGCAAATGCTGGAAAATTTGACGCCTATTTGTACAGAAATCTCTAGTTTTCTCTCGTTGTTGCATTTTATTATTTTATTTGTTATATATATTTGTTGATCGTTGCAAATTGTTGCTGTTAAGCTGTATGACGTTTCTATATGTGCGAACTATAACTGTATATACTTATTTATAGGGGTATACCGGCTATAAGCCCCTCCTAGTGGAATTATCTAATTGCATTTTTTTTGTTAAAGCGTCATTAGACTGGAACTAAACACAGATTTTTGATCAACATATATAATATTTATTTATGTTCCATATCTTTTTATGTAGATCACCAAGGTTGTATGTAGTCTTGCGTTATTATTTTTTAAATTAGCATGATATTTTATATACATATGTATATAATACTTACTTAAGTACGTGAATGAATTTTTCGTGTGTTAATGCCTTAAATCGCTAGGTACAGGCATTTGTACATACTAAAAGTTGGCAAATACAATTATTTGTACATATATATATGTATAAGTGCAGGCCAAGTGAGAAATTTTATTGCTTGAAATTTTGGAATTGGAAAATTAACTTATATACATATTTATGTATATTGTTGTTGTAGCGATAGAAAATATTTCTTAAATAATATTGAAGAGTGCTGCCGACTTGACAGCTCTTGAACAGAAAAAATCCGGGTTCGTTCCTTTTAGATATACCTGCTTGTCATGAAAATGGACTATACCATCAGATCAAATTTGACCCGGATTGGTCTATTTAAACTATGAGCGCACACTGAATTGATAACATTTTTTTCTTAGAATAGTAAAACCTTTTTTACCAAAAAAAAACCTGAATCTTTGCAAAACCGATGTCGAGTAGAGGTCGCAACGTAGCTGAGGACCCTACATTCATCAAACATATCATTACTGGTGACGAGACATTGATTTCGGAATATAACGTCTATATTGTACACCAACAATTTAGCGAATGGCACTCCAAAAAATCGAAAAAACTAAAATTCGCTGAAACCATAGAAGGCTATTCCAGCAGAGCCAAAATTTATCAGATGGTACTTTAGTGGACTGCGGCTATAATTTCGAAGACTTAAACTTCGAAAAAATTTAAAAAAAGGTAGTCAAACTATGTGTAAATCGAGAGCGTTAGCGAAACTTCACCCAAAGGACCAAAAATTTGTCATCTCCTCCAACACATCGAAAGAAAAAGAGAAATCAGCTGAGTTTGGCTACAAATGTATATAAAAACCTTTAACGGGAGAAACATAAGCTTGAACTATAGTAAAATCTTCAAAGTTTTGGAATATATTACATAATATTTTTATGTTAGCCAAAAGTCTCCAGAAAATATAAAAACCGTTCATGTTTCAAACTGTCACATTCAATTTTGTTATATAACTACTTGTAGCTGTGAGCTGTCATCGAACCGTCAATTTTCTCGCTCAAGTTATGAATTATCGGAAATTTTTTGGTGTAACCATAGCCAACGAATTGTATATAATTATTGTAAATGTTCGTGTTATTGAATGCATTTGCTCTTCAAAATATTTTACGGTACTTAGTGACAAAAACAAAAAAAAAAACACACTTTCCGAAATTCAGAAGTGCCTCTTAATCAAATAAATTTATTTTAAACCGAGTTTGAAAACAAAAATAAGAGCATGAAGCACAGTTTGGTGACGAGTTTGCTAAGAGACTAAGGAAAATAAAATTCTTTTTCATTTAAGAACCTTGACTTTTTTCTAAACCTTTAACTTAATCATATTGTCACCTACAAGTATAACCTCAATGTTCATTCTTCTTAAATTAAACCAACTGAGATGATTACAACTTCAGTAACCTTAATCTCCAAACTTATAGTACAAGTATAATATAATAACAATCCGTTACGATCTCGAGAGTTCGGCAGTTGTAGATTTTATTTCACCACCTGAACATTATGCGCCACCTGTCATGCCATTCGAAAATCCACTAAAAACAGAAACAAACAAACAGTTGGCTAAATAAATGTATATTTCATAGTATCTGGTTGGCAGCCCAGAATAGTATATATGTAGGTAAATTCGGTTTAAAATATTTTTCCTACAAGGCACTTGTGCACAATGTAATAACAATAACGACCATACCAATGTACATTTATAATAATTTATATATAAAAATGTTTGTTTAAAAATACAACTACAGATTTACTTAATTACGCCTGCACGAAGTTGTCGAAAACTGGTCTTGCGATCAATGCGGTTATACAAACATACATACATACTACTCTTACATATAATATGTATATAAATTGTATATACTGGTGTCTATGCGTATAAAAGCTTACAGCGATCATGTTTAGAATACGGTATAAAGCGAAAGCGAGTAGGTACTATTTTGTTTTGATTCCCATTTTCGGGCACTTTGTCTTTTAACTGCCAAGTTAATTACAATGGCCACTAAGTGTGCCCTAAAGCGAAAACAGTAAACTCCGCTTAAGTAACGCAAATTCAAATTTTCTATGATATTACTCAAGCCTAAGGGTAAGAGAAAGCCTCAGGAGCTTCGTAAATGTAACTTAACGTATTGGGAAAGGTACTAACGTCATCAATAGTATTATGTATAGAATGGAAATATAGAATATGAGATGCATTTAATAGATGCAAAACAAACCCATTCAATCGAATTTTTCATAGAACTGACTACTAACTTTTAAAAGTTAAACCTATCGTTAACGGTTCAATATTTCAAGCTTTTCGAACCGCTGGATTTGAGATAAATAATTCTTCGAAATAAGCAATCTCATTTTTGCATTTTATGTAGGATTATGTTATAAAAATTATATTTAAATGTATCTTACTTAACCTAAAATTAACATTTTCTGTGGGGATTGTGTCTCGTATGACAATTAAAAAATAATATTAAACCTGCAGGCTGCAAAGCTCGCATCTGTTTAAAAAAAAAAAAATTAAACTTTTAGCAAAATTCAATTTTATTATTTATTATAGTTCCTATAGAGGGTGACACCCATAAGCGCTACCGATTTGTTTGATACACTTGTTGTGGATCGATTGTCCTTTGCTTCGAAATAGACCGCAGTCTCGGCGTTTCGAAAAAGGAAATCCCCTGGTGCCAGATCCGAAATACACATATGGTGGTGGCGAAAGCAATTCGAAGGCCAATTTATGGAATTTCACTTCTAACTATTTTGAAACACGGTGAATCGCTCTGTTAGAAGCTCGATTATATATATATTTATTGAGCTTTCGGATATCTAAATATTCATGAAATTTTCAGTTTCCTTCGGAAAAAAATAATTTTTTTACAATTTTTGTTTTATTTTGATTTGAGACATTTTTATTCCGCCTCTAAATAATACTTAGCATGACTAAAAGTCGATGAATGTCAAGAAATATATTTTTTGTTGTTTTGAATGAGAAGGAATAGTTACGGTTTATTTGTGCCAGTGACTACATTTTAATTATTTCTAATGTGAACTAATTTAAGAAAGATTTAATTTTTTTTGGCAAATGATAGCAGCTAAAAAAATTAAAAGTCCAAGGATAATCCATTGATGTCAAAATATATTTTTTTGCTTAAAACAGCACAGAAAATGTTTCTCATGTTAGAAAACTGTGGCAGTTAAAGCAAAAATGGCATAAATGCTTACTACCTGTATAAGATATAAATCTGAACTGCCCTTACAAATCGCTGAACTCATAAGATATTGTCACAACTTAAGCTCTTCGTGGTACTACAAGTATAAATATTTGTAATACAAATTAACACTTATAATGAGTTTGATTAAATTTTTGTTGTATTATGTAACATCGTAAAAGCTCAAATGAACTTCACCGATTTTATACTACAATTTGGTTATGAATCTACCATTTTTTTATTTTATATTATATTTCGTACGTGTGGGAAGGTGTATTCAAACCCATACATACCTACCTGCAATATTACTATTGCCTTACTGTTATATGGTTACAAGTATATATGCATACATATAAGTCCACTTTATGCACACTCGTGGTTTTACAATTACCCAACATCACATGACATTACATTTTCGATTGTATTTCAATTGCCTTAATATTGTCATATATGTCTTGGCACATGTGTACCTACTTATATTCATATAGATTTATTTCTGCTGGTGCCTTAGTAGACAGCGTGCGGTTCTTTTTAAATTGAATTGTTCAACAATTTATTGGCAGTTAGTCGAAACAGCACATAACAGTAAAATTACAGCTGTGACCATGTTGGACTCATACATAGCTGCATAATCAATTAAAGAGGGGCTTTAATGTGAACTCTTCCTTTTGATGAATTATTTAGGTGCTGAATTGGCGGTATATGCGAACTCGCGTACGGCAAAAAGTAAGATTTTAGTCTTAGATATATTAGAGATTTTCATATTACAATTTTCTTCGAATCATTTTCCAATGATCCAATTCAAAAATATGAATTTTCAATACACGAAAGATATTTCTACTAAATGTTTTTAAGTAACCTTGCTAACAATATTTTATAATGAATTAATTTAGAGTTTTATCGCTATTATTCTACAAAGAGTTTTCTTCTATCCTACAAAATAGTCTAGTTTGCCTAATATTTTACTTTAAACAACTCTAAACGGCTATTGTAATATTGAAAATCAGCAGCCTCAAGCTTCTCTCTTTCTCTTCGTTTGTACAGAACTTGAACATTGGCGAAACGAACAAACAACTCGTTTAAATAACTGGCATAATAAAATATGGATAGCGTAGCATGTAGTTATACCACTCTCATTTAATAAATTCGTCTGAATAGAAGTGGCGAATCGAAGAGGACTTGTGCTTGCTAAAGGTCTATCTTATACGAAGCTCTTGAGAGTGCTTTTCTCAATATATGTAGTTAGATAGGTCCTTCAGTTTAAAACTCCCGATTACAATGGACGAGCTTCTTGAAGTCTCGTGGGTGAAATAAAAAACTAAAAAATCGTGTTTGCGTAATTTTGAAGCAAACATAAGCCACCCTAATACCTAAACCCATTTGGACATGTTTACAACAGAGTAATGCATTAGCACTAGCAATCGGACGTCGGAATTTAAGTGTGAAAGATTCTTGATAAATTTGTTATTGCAGTCGAATTTCTAAAGTTTTCTTCGATTTTATTGGTTGAGGTGAAATTAAAGTGTGAATTTCACAGCTGTGCCCAGAAGTTTATGAAAGTAAAAAGGTGCCACAAGATTCGCTCAGCCAAGCGCATATCAGAATTTAT